ACCACACATATTGTAGAGGAATGTGGGCTTGCCTTGGTTGCTTACTCACTTACTTGATATAAGTTAGAAAAATTATGGCCCAGAAAACTCCAGAAAAATGGAAAGATGTTTCCCAGAAAAATGGAAAGATGTTTCACTTTTAAGTAATTGAGTAGACCAGTAACCGTAGAGGAAGTTAGAACCGTATTTCTCAAAAGGACACCAGGCCCCAATGACTCATGATACATAAGTTGTTCAAGACCAAAGAAAAAGCTGAAAAGCTTGTCAATTTGTATCTGGTATAAACTCAGTGTCAAAAGTGGACAAAGATAGGGCTTCCCTGGTGGCGCAGTGGTTGAGAGTCTGCCTGCCAATGCAGGGGACACGGGTTCGTACCCCGGTCCAGGAAGATCCCACATGCCGCAGAGCGGCTAGGCCCATGAGCCATGGCCACTGAGCCTGCGTGTCCGGAGCCTGTGCTCCGCAACGGGAGAGGCCACAACAGTGAGCGGCCCGCAAAAAAAAAAAAAAAAAAGTGGACAAAGATAGGAGGAAAAAAGAAAACTATAAGCCAATCAAGAATTTGGAGAGTTTTAATGTATCAATTGTCATTTATTACATTTTGAGATTTAAGGATAAGATTTCTATGATACCCTTGATAGATGTCAAAAATGTTTTAGTAAAATTTAACACCCATTCCTGATTAAAACAAGAAAGCCTCTTAGTAAAATAGGAATAGAAGGAAACTTCCCTAACTGGATACGGCATATCTAGTAGAAACCTAAATCTCCTTAGTTTGGGCAAATACCAAAGAAGCTTATTTCTCACTTATGTAATAGTCCAAGGTGAGTGTTTCTGGTTAGCAAGCCCTACACACAGTCTTTCAGGTACTCAGAATCCTTGCATCTTTTGGCCCCATCTCCTAGAACCTCATCCTCTATATCCAGCCTTGAAAAGGAGGATGGAGGAGTACAAGTGTGAGTTTCTCATGGGCCTGGCATATGTACTGTTCACATTACCCTGGGGAGAACTTAGTCCCATGGCTGTACCCAAGTGTGAGGGAGGCAGGGAAATGGATTCTAGCTGTGCGCTCAAAGGGAAAACTAGAAAGTGGTTTCTGTGGACAGTTAGTGCTCTCTGCCCCAGTCAGCTTCTCTGGCTACCTGTATCTACATACCCTTCTTCACACTCATCTCCTCCCCAAGAGAGATGACCCCAAATCTTATGCAGTTACTGCATTCATCTCAAAGTTTAAGAACTCTGACTGCTGTGCAGTCCAGTCCATCAAATACTTCAAATCAATTGTGTAGTTCTTTATGGTTTGGTGACCTGTGAACTAAAAAATGATAACTGCTCCTGCTCGTCCACACACCAGCACAAGTTAGTGGAGCAGAAAAGGAGAACAGCAATAAAAAGTTCCACTTGGAAAGGGGAGAATAGGATACAAATCAAACCTCAGACCAAACACAAAATTAAAATCCTGTTGGATCTGTATCTAAACATGAAATATCTAATCACAAAAGACTGAATGATGAAATATTAAAAGGTGCTGTATAGTAAAATAGGTTTTAATTATGGATTAGGAAGACCTCTTGAGCATAACACAACATCCAGAAATCTTAAAGTAAAAAATGGACAGATTTGACCTCATAAAAATGTAAAATTTCTGTATCTCAGAAGGTACCTTAAACAAAATTAAAAGGCTTATGTAACAAATATTTATAACATAGCTAAAAGTTGCTTAATATCTCTAATAATCAATAAGAAAAAGACAAACAACCCAAAGTAAAAATGGAGGCTTTTGCCTTCCAGATGGGAAACTAATTGCACACAGCAATGTTCTCTCCTTCCCCAATCCCATCTATCCTTCTACTCTAAGCCTTGGATTTCTTTTTTGAGTATGGGAATATATACCTTGTTCTGTAAATTCAAAGAGAAAATTTGGGCTAATGAAAATTATGAGAAACTCCTGAGAGTAAAAGAACAAAGGATAGGGCTTCCCTGGTGGTGCAGTGTTTGAGAATCTGCCTGCCAATGCAAGGGACACGGGTTCGAGCCCTGGTCTGGGGAGATCCCACATGCCGCGGAGCAACTGTGCCCGTGAGCCACAATTACTGAGCCTGCGCATCTGGAGCCTGTGCCCTGCAACAACAGAGGCCGCGATAGTGAGAGGCTTGCGTACCACGATGAAGAGTGACCCCCGCTTGCCACAACTAGAGAAAGCCCATGCACAGAAACGAAGACCCAACACAGCCATAAATAAATAAATAAATACATTAAAAAAAAAAAAAAGAACAAAGGATAAGTTTGAAGAGGGTAATCGCAGCCTGAAATTTGTGCTGGATCCCTTTGGAAAGTACTACCACAGAACATGGGAGAATCACCAGGAATTCCTCCTGCCTACAGGTGGAAGAAGCCAGGAGTAGAAAAGAGTGGTTCAATGCAAATGACAGGAAAATGAGTTGGGGTACCCACAGTGTGTCGTGTGCATCCCACCCTCCTCTCCATCCATTTGGATCTGTCTTTGGGCAGGAGCCATGCTGAAGGAGAGGCAGGGCTTGACAATGCCCAGAGATAATGACTGAGCCCAGAATACCAGCCTCTAAGAAATTCCATCCAGAATACATCCCACCTTTTCCTCATTCTCACTGAAAACAGTGGGGAGCACAAACCTCAGCAGCTATTTCTCCACCTCCCCCAAGGCTGGCTGAAAGACTACAAGTATAAAGGATCCAGCAGGGGATCCAAACTACAAAGATGAGCCCACAGTCAAAAATCACCAACATCTGGCATGCAGCCACCGTGAAAAATAGGTAACAACCCAGCAGAATTACAACTATGCAAAAGTTAATAGAGCGATAAGAAAAGGACTTTAAAACAAGTGTGATTAGTGTCTTCAGATATAGGATGATGTCGCAATAATGAATCAGGAACTGTCTGTTATAAAACAAACTAAAGACAAACCTTGGAAGTAAAAAATATAATTATTGAAATTAAAAATGCAGTAGATAGAAGAATAGGCATAGCTAAAAAAGAAATTAGATATCTGGAAGACAGCCTAGGGATGAAGTACAAGGCGAGAAAAAGGTAAAAACTTAAGACATGGAAGAAAGTTCTGCAAGTCGTAGGATCTACCCAATAGAGAATAATGAGAATAGAAGAGAGGTAAAATCTGAAGAAATAATAGGATGGAATTTCTTATAGTTGAAGAAACGTATAAATCCTCAGATTGAAATAGTCCACCAACTACAGAGTAGGATAAACACACAACAAAAATAAAAGGCAATGTACAAAAGTAATCAAAGTTCAGAACTTTCATTAGTCAATGTAGTCAATATGCTAAAAGCTCTAAGGATAAAGACAAACTGCTGCAGCCTCCAGAGAGGTTGAGAAGAAGACTGTTCAAAGTAATTCTAATCAGATTTGGCATTAGATGTCATCAACAATGTTGGATGAAAAAAGACATTGGACGATATTTTTAGTTTGGTAAAGGAAAAGAAGTTCAAATCTAAATTTCTGTGTTCAGCCATGATATCATTGAAATGTGAGAATGAAATAAGATTCTTTCAAATATCCAAGAATTCAAATTTTAACAACCCAGCAGATTCTCTGTGAAAGCTGAAAGAACTACTAGAGAATATACCCCCCAAAAGAGTCAATCCGGAACTTAACAATGAACTGCAGTAGTTAGCAAAAAAAGTAATAAAGCCATTCTATAGATATGATTATAAAATTATTTTTAAAAAACAATACTGTGCCAAGATTTCAGATTATGTCAGCATAGGTTGTGGGAAGATGGAGGCGAGGGTGCTGATGAAGAATTTAGGAAAATAAAAGCATTCTAAGATTCATCAAAAGGAACCAGTGGGTAGCGACTAACTTCAGACACTATTAGAAAAATATAAATCTAACCACTTATGATAAAAGTTTAAGCGTAACTACTAGAAAGATAAAAATAGAATATGTATGATTTTCAAACCAGTAAATGAAAAGAGGAACAAAGAAAATTCCACTAATCCATGAAAAGGCTGGGAAGAAGAAACGCAAGCGTGAGAAAAAGGATGGTAAATTGAAAACACAAAATAAGGCGGCAGGAATAGGTCTAAGTGTATCAAATGTAACAGTAAATATGAATTGCATATGTTTGTTTCATAAAAGGTAAAACATTTTGGATTTTTAATAATCCAGCTATGTGCAGGTTACTAGAGAAAGCCAAAACTGTGATAACTCAAAATTTGAAAACATATCCCTAGCAAGTACTAACAGAAAGGTGGCAAAGCACCATCAAACCCAGACAAGATAGAATTGAAAGTCAAAAACATTAAAAGTTTCATAAAGGACATTTCACATGGTTAAATAATTCACCAAGAAGCAATAATAATCATAAACTTAAATGCCCCTAACATCATTTGGAAATACAAGAAAAATTGATAAAATCACAGATGGAAATTAGAAAATCCACATCATAGAGGTATGTTAAAGTATCCCACTATGATGGACTATGAATAAAAATATAGAATATTTAAATAATGTAATTAATAAGTTCATGCTAATATATATGAATAGAATTCACATCCAATAGAGAATATGCAACTTGTTCATTTACTTAGTTAACATTTACAAAAATTGGTCCTATAGAATGTCACAAAGAAATTACAGTTAGGGAAAAAAATGAAATATAGAGATATATAGACCACTTAACCAACCCCAGTATATTAAAATTTTTTTTAATTTTTTAAAAAGTTAATCCAGGCATCTAGATATTTTGTCACTTCTAAATAATTTATTGGTTAAAGAGAATGTCAAAATTGTAGTTTTAAATTATTTATAAATTCATGAAAATGAAAGCACTCCATATCAGAACTTATATGTTTTTTCATGGCTTCAAAAGTATTACACACTAACCTAAGAAGCTAGGAAATAAACAACCCAAACAAGCCCATAGAAAGAAGAAATAAAAATAATTAAAGCAGAAACGGATGAAATAGCAAATAGTTAAGTCCACTTCCTCTTCCTCTTACCTCATTTCTCCTGTCTCCTGTAGCAGAATTCTTCAAAATACTTGCATATTCTCACTGTCTCCAGTCGTTCTCCATTAAAAAAAAAAAAGAAGAAGAAGAAGAAGAAAAAAGAAACCTAATCAGGCTTCTGTCTTCAGCACTTCACCAAAACATATCTTGTAAAGACCACCATTTGTATATTTCAACTTTAATTTTATTTGAACCATCAGTGGGTTGATCATGTAACTTATTTTACAGTCTTGGACACTTAGTAAAAGAGAGTAAGAGAGTGTTGTTAATTATTACAGCTGAAAATAGGCATAAATTGGGTCATGTGGTCACCCCACCAATCAGCAACATTTAGCCATAGATCAGTGCCTGGCATAGAGTGCATAATACATATATATTGAATGGATGGAGTTTATCAGCCCCACAGAATTTCCCCATTTTTTATTTTTGTTGTTAACTGAATAAAATAAAACCCTTGGCAAGATTGACCAAGGAACAAAAAGAGATCACAAAACAACATGAGGAATGAATGAAAGGTCATAGACACAAATATGTGAAAGATAAAAGAAAATTATGAGAATACTATAACAACTTTGTACTAATCCACCTGAAAACATAGATGAAATGGATACATTTCCTACAATACAAATGATTAAAGTTGACCTAAGATAGAGTAGAAAATCTAAATAAATGAATCAATGTTAAAAAAAAAATTGGGGCTTCCCTGGTTGTGCAGTGGTTAAGAATCTGCCTGCCAATGCAGGGAACACCGGTTCGAGCCCTGGTCCGGGAAGATCCCACATGCTGCAGAGCAGCTAAGCCTGTGCGCCACAACTACTGAGCCTGTACTCTAGAGCCCGCAAGCCACAACTACTGAGCCCCACGTGCCACAGCTACTGAAGCCTGCGTGCCTAGAACCTGTGCTCCACAACAAGAGAAACCACTGCAATGAGAAGCCCGCGCACCGCAGCGAAGAGTAGCCCCTGCTTGCCGCAACTAGAGAAAGCCCATGCGCAGCAACGAAGACCCAATGCAGCCAAAAATAAAAATAAATAATTTTTTTAAAAATTGGAAAAAGCATTTCTCACCTGTGCTGTGGAGAAATAAGAAAGTAGTCTGGATACCTGCTTGGGCTTGTATAACAGGGCAGGAAGAAACCACTTAGGGGAAAGTGGATTTCAGGGCTGAAAGTCAGAGTTCTGTGCTCCAGCAACCCCATCTGTGTCCAGATTTGCAAACTCATTTTTTGAAGGAAACTGATAGATTTCATTGTAGATGCATTACTTTTCACCATAGTTCCATCCCTACTCAGAACTACTGAGTCCTCTCCTACTTTGTGGGAAGATTGGACAAAATTATGAAAGAAACCAAGGAGTTAAGCTACGAGTTAGAAGAAAATATATCCTCCCTCCAGCTAGCTACATATTGCAGGGTCCAGGCAAGCACGTAGCCTTATGGCCTAGATTTTTTTTTTGCCCATCATATGAGAAGGATACCATTAGCCCGTTTATCTTGTAGATTTGTTTTTGAGGGTGAAAAGAGAATGAACATCTGGTAATGAATAAAGAGGGACATAAGTGGGAGATTTAGCATTATTTTGAAGGGTATGTGTGGAACAAAAATGAAAAAACATGAAGACACTTCAGTTATGATGCGTTTACAACACTTTTCCATCTCCAGGCCAGCAACCCACTTGTGTCCCGCCATCCTAAATGTGCCCTGAGCATGTCTTCTTGTACTTAGGTCCTACACAGAGTGAGTGTAGTAGCACCTCCAGCAATTTGTTCAACGTATGCTCAATAAATCACTCTGAAATAAAAGGAAAAGGTTCAGGATAACCTTTAATCATAAAGAAAATACTGAGCCCTGTTCATTATTCTCTGAGGAAGATGTCCTCCTTTTAGAAAGATTTTCTTTAAAACGACAAAGTGAATAAAAATGTTGGTGTTGAAAAGAATGACTATAGAGAAAGCAGCTCTCTAGGGTAACACCATTGAGAAGAGTCTAGGAGAGTTTAGAATTTGATATATATTTTCATAAAACTTGGCAATGACTGATTTTATTCCAGTATTTCAAATGGTTTTGGAAAAAGAAATAATAAAGTAATTAAGATTGTAAAAAAGTTAATTTTAGTGATAAATCCCCCACATAAAAGCAATGTGCTGTACAAAAAGTCTTTGAAATAAAAGAAGGTGGAGAGAAGGTAATTCTAATGAAATTTTGTCTCTAGGGGCATATATCATCAAACCCCTCCAGCATAAATGCTATTTTATTATATTCTTATGTCTTACTCATTTGTGTGTATTAAGAGTATTTTATTCTAAGATTACATATTTGGCTGAATAAACTTCTTGGTGTCTGTAGATGTTATGTTTTAGTGGAATATTTGTATATAAATGTTTTCAACAAATTACCAAATCAGTGACAATTTCTGGAACATGAAGAGCTGAATTAGTAAATTCATTTGAAGAGAAGAAAAATATTTCATTGCTCTTGAGCTCCTAAGTGTTGAATTTTACTTTTTCTGAGGTGATATAAAAATGTATTTCTAATAGTGAAAATATATGAACATATGAAAGAATAAAGACTAGTTTATACTGAGTTAGAGAAGATGAGGCTTGGAAGGTAATTTGAAACCATATGGTTTAGGGTCTTGAAAAGTTTGGCTTGGGTGGGACCTCAGAGATCATCTGGTGTTTAATTAACCTGTTAATCTTATTTTCAGAGAAATTAGGTCCCAAGAATCCCTCCAATTTCTTTCTTTTTTTTATTTTATTTTATTTTTGACTGCATTGGGTCTTCATTGCTGTGCATGGGCTTTTCTCTAGTTGTGGAGAGCGGGGACTACTCTTCATTGTGGTGCGCGGGCTTCTCGTTACAGTGGCTTCTCTTGTTGCGGAGCACGGGCTCTAGGCGCACAGGCTTCAGTAGTTGTGGCGTGTGGGCTTCAGTAGTTGTGGCATGTGGGTTCAGTAGTTGTGGCTCACGGACTCTGGAGCGCAGGCTCCGTAGTTGTGGTACACAGGCTCAGTTGCTTTGCGGCATGTGGGATCTTCCTGGACCAGGGCTCAAACCCGTGTCCCCTGCATTGTCAGGCGGATTCTTAACCACTGCACCACCAGGGAAGCCCTCAAATTTCTTTTTTTAATTAAAGTAATTAATCTTTAATGTTTTGTTAGATTCAGGTATATAGCAAAGTGATCCAGTTGTGTGTGTGTACGTGTGTGTGTGTATTCTTTTTCAAGTTATTTTCCATTATAGGTTACTATTGATACATGATACTGAATATAGTTCCCTGTTCTATGCAGTAGGTTCTTGTTGTTTATCTATTTTGTATACAGTAGTGTGTATCTGTTAATCCCAAACTCCTAATTTATTCCTCCTCCCCCCTTTCCCCTTTGGTAACCAGGAGTTTGTTTTCTATGTCTGTGAGTCTATTTCTGTTTTATAAATAAGTTCATTTGTATAATTTTTAGATTCCATATAAAAGTGATATCATATGATGTTTATCTTTCTCTGCCTTATTTCACTTGGTATGATAATCTCTAGGTCCATCCATGTTGTTGCAGATGGCATTATTTCATCCTTTTTTATGGCTGAGTAATATTCCAGTGTGTGTGTGTGTGTGTGTGTGTGTGTGTGTGTGTGTGTATAGCACATCTTTATCCATTCATCTGTTGACGGACATTTAGGTTGTTTCCATGTCTTGGCTATTGTACGTAGTGCTGCTATGATGATGGCCATTATGACCGATGTGAGGTGCTACCTCATTGTAGTTTTGATCTGCATTTCTCTAATAATTAGTGGTGTTGAGCATCTTTTCATGTGCCTGTTCTCCATCTGTATGTCCTCTTTGGAGACATGTCTATTTAGGGCTTCTGCCCATTTTTTGATTGGGTTTTTTGCTTTTTTTTGATATTGAGCTGTATAAGCTGTTTGTGTATTTTGGAAATTAAGCCCTTGTTGTTCGCATCATTTGCAAATATTTTCTCCCATTCCATAGGTTGTCTTTTCATTTTGTTAATGGTTTCCTTTGCTGTGCAAAAGCTTTAAAGTTTAAATAGGTCCTATTTGTTTATTTTTGCTTTTGTTTCCATTACTCTAAGAGGCAGATATAAGAAAATATTGCTGCGATTTATGTCAAAGAGTGTTCTGCCTACATTTTCCTCTAGGAGTTTTATAGTATTCGGTCTTACATTTAGGTATTTAACATTTTGAGTTTATTTTTGTATGTGGTATTAGAAATTTTTCTAATTTCTTTCTTTTACAGGTAACTGTCCAGTTTTCCCAGCATCACTTATTGGACAGACTGTCTTTTCTCCATTGTATATTCTAGCCTCCTTTGTCATAAATTAATTGACCATAAGTGTGTGGGTTTATTTCTGGGCTTTCTATCTTGATCATGGATCTGTGTGAACTGGTTTTGTGCTGGTACCATACTGGTTTGATTACAGTAGCTTTATAGTATAGTCTGAAGCCAGAGGGCATGATTCCTCCAGCTCCATTCTTCTTTCTCAAGATTGTTTTGGTTATTTGAGGTCTTTTGTGTTTCCATACAAATTTTAGAATTTTTTTTTCTAGTTCTGTGAGAAATGTCATTGGTAAATTGATAGGGATTGCACTGAATCTGTAGATTGCCTTGGGCAGTATGGTCATTTTAACAGTATTGATTGTTCCAATCCAAGAACACAGTATATCTCTCCAGCTATTTGTGTCAACTTTGATTTCCTTCATCAGCATCTTATAGTCTTCAGAGTACAAGTCTTTTGCCTCCTTAGGCAGGTTTATTCCTAGGTATCATATTCTTTTTTATGTGATGGTAAATGGGATTATTTCCTTAATTTCTCTTTCTGATACTTCATTGTTAGTGTATAAAACTGCAACAGATTTCTTTATATTAATTATGTATCCTGCTACTTTACCAAGTTCACTGATGAGCTCTAGTAGTTTTCTGATGGCATCTTTAGGATTTTCTATGTGTAATGATATGTCATCGGCAAATAGTAACAGTTTTACTTCTTCCTTTCCAATTTGGATTCCTTTTATTTTTTTTATTCTCTGATTGCTGTGGTTAGTACTTCCAAAACCATGCTGAATAAAAGTGGTGAGAGTGGGCATCCTTGTCTTGTTCCTGATCTTAGAGGGAATGCTTTCAGCTTTTCACTGTTGAGTATGATGTTAGCTGTGGGTTTGTCATTTATGGCCTTCATTATATTGAGGTATGCTCCCTCTATGCCCAGTTTCTGGAGATTTTTTATCATAAATGGATGTTGAATTTTATCAAAAGCTTTTTCTGCATCTATTGAGATGATCATATGGTTTTTATTCTTCAGTTTGTTAACGTGGTCTATCACATTGATTGATTTGTGGATATTGAAAAATATCCCTAGGACAAATCTCACTAGGTCATGGTATATGATCCTTTTACTGTATTGTTAAAGCTGGCTTACTAGTATTTTGTTGAGGATTTTTGCATCTATGTTCATTGATATTGTGATATTGGCCTGTAATTTTCTTTTTTGTGTGTGGTATTTTTGTCTGGTTTTGGTATCAGGATGATGGTGACCTCATTGAGTTCAGAAGTGTGCCTTCCCCTGCATTTTTGGAGTAGTTTGAGAAGGATAGGTGTTAACTCCCTCCAGTTTCCTATGAACTTTTCCCAGGCACACAAACTAGCATTCATAATGAGGGGTTTGGCCGAT